ATCCTATCCCCAGATACTAGCCTTTATCATTCTACAAGGATCCTATCCCCATCCTTTTATACCATAACACACATAATCAACAGATACTAGCCTTTCTTTATCATTCTACAAGGATCCTATCCCCATCCTTTTATACCATAACACACATAATCATCAGATACTAGCCTTTCTTTATCATTCTACAAGGATCCTATCCCCATCCTTTTATACCATAACACACATAATCATCAGATACTAGCCTTTCTTTATCATTCTACAAGGATCCTATCCCCATCCTTTTATACCATAACACACACAATCATTAGGTACTAGCCTTTCTTTATCATTCTACAAGGATCCTATCCCCATCCTTTTATACCATAACACACATAATCATCAGATACTAGCCTTTCTTTATCCATTCTACAAGGATCCTATCCCCATCCTTTTATACCATAACACACATAATCACAGATACTAGCCTTTCTTTATCATTCTACAAGGATCCTATCCCCATCCTTTTATACCATAACACACATAATCATCAGATACTAGCCTTTCAAGGATCCTATCCCCATCCTTTTATACCATAACACATTTTGAATTTTGTTCACATACTCTCCCCTCTTCTACTTGTAGATGTTATGACTGTTGGCTGTGTATTTAGGTAGATTTTGTTGAACTGGTAGTTTTGTGTATGTCTTCACGTATATTAGTGGCATGTTGTTAACACCATTTTTCTGTTTAAGGATGGGATACATGAAGATCCAAAATGGAACATTGTTGTCCAACTTCACCAGGTTAGTTGTGTGTTGTGTGAGAGACATTATAATAGGAGGTGCAAGGGGGGGAGTTAGGATGACATCGTACATTACAATTGGAAGTACAGTGGTTGATATTAGTGTTATAATTGTGAGGGTTAGGAAGTTTAAAATCAGCTGGAACTGTGCACATAGCACAAATCAGTAAGTTATTGTTTACGATTCTGTATGTTTTTTTTCTGACATTTTACTTAGAGGTTCTGTCCTAGGTGTAGTCTTCATTTGTTTCATGTAACAAATGGTTTATTTTCACCTATAGCCACACAGTGTTCGACACTGCAACTGTTTATTAACAAAACAATGATAAGCCATAATGTGTTTTTAGTTTTGTATTAGTTCTTTTCAGAGTTGAACAACATAGAAAGCTGTGTTAAATAGTGAATACTGTAGACACAAAAGTATATAGAAAGCTAAATAGTGAATACTGTAGACACAAAAGTATATAGAAAGCTAAATAGTGAATACTGTAGACACAAAAGTATATAGAAAGCTATGTTAAATACTTAGCACTTGATATACAGAATACAGGAAAATATGGTTTCATTACTTGTAAGGAGTTATCATTTGATATACATGAATACTGTAGACACAAAAGTATATAGAAAGCTATATTAAATAGTGAATACTGTAGACACAAAGTACATCATGATTTGTAGTATAAGAATTGTGAAACTTGATTTAAATTTTGGAGAAACAAGACTTGTTAAGTTTTTAATGTTTTTACTATACTCAGATCTATAGAATCAAGTGTTTCATTATTTGTCGGGAGTTAGCATCTGATACATAGAATATTGAAAAATATGGTTTCATTACTTGTAAGGAGTTAGCATCTGATATAGAATATTGAAAAATATGGTTTCATTACTTGTAAGGAGTTAGCATTTGATATACAGAATACAGGAAAATATGGTTTCATTACTTGTAAGGAGTTAGCATCTTGATATACAGAATACAGGAAAATATGGTTTCATTACTTGTAAGGAGTTAGCACTTGATATACAGAATACAGGAAAATATGGTTTCATTACTTGTAAGGAGTTAGCACTTGATATACAGAATACAGGAAAATATGGTTTCATTACTTGTAAGGAGTTAGCATTTGATATACAGAATACAGGAAAATATGGTTTCATTACTTGTAAGGAGTTAGCACTTGATAATACAGGAAAATATGGTTTCATTACTTGTAAGGAGTTATAACTTGATATATGGAACATTGAAAAATATGGTTTCATTACTTGTAAGGAATTATAATTTGATATATGGAACATTGGAATATATGGTATCATTACTTGTAAGGAGTTAGCTTTTGATATATGGAACATTGGAATATATGGTTTCATTACTTGTAAGGAGTTAGGATATGTTATACAGAACATTGAAAATATGGTTTCATTACTTGTAAGGAGTTAGCATATGATATACAGAATACAGGAAAATAATGGTTTCATTACTTGTAAGGAGTTATCATTTGATATTACTTTTTGTTCTAATGAATCGTTTACTGTCAAATTTCAAACAGACTAACAGTTATTAAAAGCCACAATGAGAATAAGTTTGCTGTGTATTATTATAGAAAAGGTTGATTTTTCCACTAAGTATTGAAATATCTTAAACAGACATAATTCTACAGACTTTTAAATATATGATGTTTAACTGGCAACAGAAAAATGGAAATTGGCAAGTGGGCTGTAGGTTACTAAGCACACAAAATTTTTCATGAGCTTTACATAATTCCGTATCGCAAAGAAAAGATTTTCAAAACAGCGTAAACATTAAAAATGCATAACTTTCACAAAAGTGAATTATATCAGGGATTTACCACTCCCTGAGTTAAGCTACTCTCCGGGCTCCTAAATGTCTGAGATATTTGGTAAGCAAAGCCAAATTAGGCTACCAGAAGTATTCCTTTATAAATTCAGTTTTCTTAATGCAGTTCTCAAACCAGTGTACACCAGATGGTCTCCTCACATGTAGAAAACCTCCCTGATACTGGACAAAACAATATTTTGAGGAATAATCTTATTTATTGAAATAAATATGACTATTTAATGTTTTTTATGCTAAATATTGTTTTTAAAGAACAATTCGCAATGAATGTAAGACACCTCAGAATGACTGTGTAAAATCATTAAGTGGGATCCTCAAGGAAAAAGGCTTGAGAACCCATTTCTTAATGACCCATGAAAGAAAAACTAGATAAGTACATGTTGGGAAGATGTGCAGAGAGTTAAAATGTTATTCTGATAACAAGTGCACAGAACACCATGGCGTGCTTCAAAAAATTTAGTAGTAACTTGAAAGTTAAAAAATGATCCTCACCATGAAAGTTGACATGTTGTTTGTAATTAGATTTGTAATTAGTATTAGTACTTTTTGGCAGACAAATAGTTGAAATGTTTGTATCATTTAACAGGAACAGTATAACTGAAACAAAAGCTATTTTATAGATTACAGACAACACAAATTATTCAACAAACACAGAGATCAATGATGTGTATAAAATTTATTAAATTAGCATATAATACCCACACTCCACCATAGGGTTCAAAAGTCCCCTTGTTATTCACAGATGTCCCAGTTACTTCTATAGCTATCCCAAAGGGAGGCCCATACTCAAAAACAAACCCTGTTAAGACACCAACCCATGGTACCTTGGCACGTGTGCCATGTTTGGTTTTACTAGCTCATGAATTGGGGCATGAAAATTGTTTCAAACATGGTGGCCACAAAATTCTGAGACCCCTGAAAACCTAGACTCTTATTGTGCCTAGGTAACTTTCTGGGTGTTTTAGTCTCAGTTTGGTAAGAGGGATAGCCATATAGAGCCAAGGACACTCCCCTGACAGATTTGGTCCTGCTAGTTCCAAAACTGTGTGAGGACTTAATTGTAAACTAAAGAAGTTCACAAACACATACCATAATAGAATTTTGATAAAGCACATGATCTTATTAAACTTAAAAATTACTAGTATTACAGTTTTTTAATCTGTATGTCTAATCAGATTTATTTGAATTAGTTAAGAGCAACCCTAATATTCTTGTGAGTGAAGGTAGATCACATTCAGCGTAACCTTCATTTTCCCATCTAGTTGTTAATGTAACAACAGTAGCTACTCTGTATTTTGTGAAAGTGACTGGTTTTTTCATAAATATTGTTGACTTCTTAAAACAGGTGCGTGATGCACACACTGCCGATAAGAATCATTGTGCTAACTAAGACAGTATTGGAAGTGTTCAGTTTCTACAGTAGTGGATGGGAAAATGACAGACCAGATTATAAGTATGTTAAGAAGTTGGAAGAGCTATTTATGTTTGTGTTTTGAAAGTTAAGTCCTCATTTCTATTCTGCAGGTGTTTCACCAGATGAAGAGGTATGAAGATGTAGAATCATCAGATGGAGATGCACTGGACTGTGTGACATCTTTTATCAAATCTCACCTTCAAGCTTTATTACTATTGCTCAGGTAAACATACAGAAGAATGTATATTTATGTGGACTGTGATGATATCTTTTATCAAATCTCACCTTCAAGCTTTATTACTACTGCTCAGGTAAACACACAGAAGAATGTATATTTTTGTGGATTGTGATGATATCAAACTTTGTGTTGAGGAACCCACTTTCAAAATAAACATTTGAAGATGGCATATTACAAGTTTTCTTCATCACTCATTCAAGCCATCTTTAAACTTTATTATATGAACTGTATTGATGTAGAATTTTAAGAGAGAATATATATTTCAAATTGTTGTATGTTCTTGTTCATTGTTGCAAAGAATGTGAAAGTCAATTATTATATGTTTTTAATTTATAACAGAGATTATCATCCCAGCCTGGAAGAAAACCATCAGCACGATGCCCACGAGGCACTAACATTGATTCTGAATATTCTATCTGAAATAAGTGACATTGTTCTACCTGTGAGAACAGTCTCTCATGTGGAAAATTCCTGTAAGAAAGTTTGTCGTGGGAAGAGGAGGAGAAGGTGTATTTTCACAAATCCAAGAAAGAGAAAGAAAAAGGCTGTAGAAAGCAGTTACTGTTTGCCTACAAATGATCAGCAAGTGTGTGAAATGAAGGGAAAACCACAATGTAACTTTGTCAGGGATCTGTTTGAAGGTAGATCGTCAAACAGTACAGTTTGCCTGGAGTGTGAAGACATAAAGTGCTCAGAGGAGGAGTTTTGGGATCTCAGTGTTCCAGTTTTAGCCAATTCTAAAGACGATAGTGAGGATGAGGAAGATGAATCAGGTTAGTATGATAAACATTACGAACTTCATACATTCAAATATTTGTATATCTTATGTCCAGAGTGTAGTTGTCAGAGTAAGGGTATCTGTTTTACCACTGCATTATGATGTTTACATTTCCTACTGACTTGACTCTACATTTTTTTATTGGTCTAAGAATTGGTAACATTTGTTGCACATCTAATTTTGATTTGAAACCAGCATCCATTATAGATGGTGTTGAAATTATAGCTGTTTAGCTTAAGGCTTTTGTAGCGGGTACATTAAATACTGTACAAGACAAGGAACAGTTTGCTGAATATCAAATTAATTTGAATTTGTTGCTAATTTCTAATTGTAGTTTATAAAACAGCTCCTCAAGTTAGATTCATTATGTATATCATAGCAGCAGTAAGTCCTAAAATAAAAGAATGATCTCTTATGGTGGCAGGGATGTATTATACATAATGGGCAAGTGATGAAATATCAAGTTCAATTCTTTTGTAGAAAAAGCAGCAATTGACTTTATTATTATAACTAGCTGAGAGCTATCCCACAATACTGTGGTAGTATAGTTCTAAAGTGACATATAATACACTTTTTTTCCAGTTTTTTGATGATCATAAAACCTTTTGAAGCAAGACATTTAAGTTTTTCTTTCTTCATTGTTATAACTTTCAATATCATGCTACTCAAAACTAGAAAGCTTTCTGGACTAGCTCTCGACTAGTAAACAATTGGGTCAGTTGCTGCTTATTATACAATTAGTTGGCTTTAGCCTCTTTCTCTATCAAATTAATGAAGCATCGTATCTAGCACACGTCGGACAGATGTCAGTACATCTAGATAAAATACATTAATTTTCTTGTTTTACTATTTCCCTTTCAGGAGATGCAAGGAGCAAGTGTTTTCTGTCTGACACATTGAAGAAGGAGTCTTTGTTACGTGGAGTCAACAAGTATTACTGTGAAAAATGTCATCACTACGTAGAGGCTAGATGTGGTTTAGTCCTGTACTCGACTCCTCCAGTTCTAATCCTACAGCTAGGTCGCTTTGACTGCCAAACAAGGTATGCTAAAAAACATACACATTGTAAGTACTGTTAACCACCATAGGATGTGATTTCATATGTGTACAGTTCCGTATATAGTTTCCTTATGTTAACTGATGGATATTTGGTTTTTAGTTTTCGAGAGCAGGCTGGAATGTCCAAGCTGAACAACCACTGTCCAGTTCCTCTTCGGCTGCCCAGTTTTCATAATGAGAACCACTGTTATTGTTTATTTGCTGTGGTCATCCACAAGGGACTGTCTGTGAATTCTGGCCATTATGTCACGGTAGTTAGTAGTTCTTCATATACTAAGCTTGATGAAATGGTAAGTAGAACTAAACAGACTAGTAGTAGATCACATGGTACTTGTTGTGGTTTGGATTCAGCAAATCTCAAATCATGGTTCTTTTGTGATGATGACAAGGTACAAGTTATTAGTGAGGAGGAGATGGAGATGCATCTCTCGGCTGTATCCCCACTTGGACCGACTGCCACTCCGTACCTGTTGTTTTACCAGAAACTTGACCATCAGTACCAGTAATTAATTTTTTTGTTAGCCACTATCATGGACTAAAACGTTCTGTGAATGATGTTTTAGTAACTTTCCAGCTATTTATGGAAATTTTTCTATAGAGTGGAGAATTTGTATTTATTAACTATATTTTCAGTTGATTTTTAAAAATATTTATTTACATAAATACAAAAACTCCAGTTTGGCTTTAAATCTGTCAAACTAGAATATTGATGTATACTTGAGTTTTTAAATTGTTTCTTCACCCCCTGGAGCCCAATAAAATGTGTTTGTAAAAAGTTTGAATATTTGTACTGGAAATGTTTTTAAAACTTACAGTACATATAATTAATAACAAACAAGCTATTAACGATACATCAACTAAGAAGTGTTGGAAAGCATGTAACGATGGTCTGGGTTGTGATGTTTTCACCAAGAACTACCAACTAATGACTCCTCCTTATCTGTACATTTAGAAATACATAACACCATTTCTCTGATACGGTCTCCAGATTTTCAATAAAGGAAAGACAGATTTAATGACAAGAAAACAACATATATATACACACACACGCCTCTGGGGAAAAAATACAGTAAATACTTTTATCCAAATATTGTTTACTACATCTGTAGTATGACTTATTAAATGAAACACAACTATATAAATTCTTATGCAATAGAAACAATAACTGTGACTTCAAAGGACAAAAAAAGTTTAAAATTTCTTGAACTTTACTGATGGATTTGTGTCTAAATCTTTACATTGGACATAAGAATTCAATAGGGTCCCAGTTAAGCAGAGATATTCCATCCCAAGATCATCATCACTTAGCATGCATATTGAAGTTTGTATCATTTTTGGCTAGAGAGTTATTTTAACATCAGGAAGAGATACCTCTAGGAAACACATGGAGTACTTGTCACCTCCTATACATATTGACTAGAACTTTCTTAAAAGTAACAAATGATTTGAATGATACAAAACATAGCATATGTATTCGTAAATAGATTTTAAAGAGATACATTATTTGTTTGTGAAATTAGGACTACAGAACTTGTATATACTGTAGGACTTCTAGTCAAAAAATAAAACATCATCATTCAGTGGAATGTTATTAAATTGTCCAGAGACTGTAAAGTTGAACATTAAACAATAGTTTAGGTCTGGTAGACAACAAAATGGGTTAAGAATTCTCAATAGATCCTTAGGTCCAAGAAAGCAACAGGCTTCACTAAAGAAACAAACGCACACTTATAATCATACAGAGTTCTGATCATTCCAGCTAGGTTAATCATAATTAAAGGGATTTTATATAACCTAACAGCTCAATATAAGACAGTAAGACTGTCCAGTTTGGGCTTACTTCTTACATGACACAGTTCTACACCAACAAGAGTAACTGTCCAGTTTGGGCTTACTTGCTACTGGACACAGTTCTAATCGAAAAGACAGTAAGACTGACAAGTTTGGGATTACTTGTTACATGACAGAGTTCTAAACCAACAAGAGAGTAAGACTGTACAGTTTGGGCTTACTTCTTACATGACAGAGTTCTAAATTGAAAAAGACAGTAAGACTGACAAGTTTGGGATTACTTGTTACATGACAGAGTTCTAAACCAACAAGAGAGTAAGACTGTACAGTTTGGGCTTACTTGCTACTTGACACAGTTCTAAATCAAAAAGACAGTAAGACTGACAAGTTTGGGATTACTTGTTACATGACAGAGTTCTAAACCTACAAGAGTAAGATTGTCCAGTTTGGGCTTGCTACATGACACAGTTCTAAGACAGTAAGACTGACCAAGTGGGGACTTACTTCTTATTTGGAGTACAAAATCTACAAGTTGGTAAGACTGTCACTTGTAGTTTCCTTGATTGAATGTTACTTGCATGTTTCCTGTAGTGAATGTTACTTGCATGTTTCCTGTAGTGAATGTTACTTGTATGTTTCCTTGATTGAATGTTACTTGCATGTTTCCTTGGTTGAATGTTACATGTTTCCTGTAGTGAATATTACTCACATGTTTCCAGGAGTGAATGTTACTCACATGTTTCCAGGAGTGAATGTTACTTAAATGTTTCCAGGAGTGAATGTTACTTAAATGTTTCCTGTAGTGAATGTTACTCACATGTTTCCTGTAGTGAATGTTACTTGCATGTTTCCTGGAGTGAATGTTACTTGCATGTTTCCTGTAGTCTACAGGAAACATGTGAGTAACATTCACTACAGGAAACATGTGAGTAACATTCTGAATGTTACTCGCATGTTTCCTGTAGTGAATGTTACTTGCATGTTTTCTGGAGTGAATGTTACTCACATGTTTCCTGTAGTGAATGTTACTTGTATAGTTTTCTTGACATGATTTTGCAGTTCCATGCATCTTTTGATCTTATAGCTGTTATATGTCCATAGTTAAGCCTCACGTGCTTGAAAACAAGGCTTTTAAGATACCGTAAATTGGCAATCACTTGAGTATGGTTGCTTTAAAGCCAGAAATCAATAAATTAGAGATCAAGACATGGATCCATATAGTGCAAACAGCTGTTAGAAACAAGACTGAAAATCATCATATGCAAACAGTTGAAAGTCATACTTTAACTTTCTCAAGAGTCATAACTAAAGACTTAAACCTAACATAAGCAACAGAAAACTAAACTCTTAACAAGTGCCTCATTAAACACTTAAAAAGGTTTTTTGGTTAAGATTAGAAAATAAAGAACAACACAGGACTAAAGTTTTGGTTCTCATAGTTTTTATAAAATATAGTGCCTAGAATTAAAACATTTTCCTGTGAAGAACACCACAAGATCAGTAACCTTTGGCATATGACACAGGGACATAGATCCGTAACCTTTAGCACAAGTGACTAATTTTTCTGTAGTAATATCATAAGGCTCGCCACCTTTGGCATACAACACATTAATACAAGACTCGTAGCCTTTAACATACGACACAGTAACACAAGATCTGTAACCCATTTTTAAGGAATGCGGTCAGCTTCTTAACTTTGTCCAAGGAGTATAAGTAACAGTGCTCAATAGAATTTCAAGAATGGATTTTAAAAGAAAATCGAAAATACTGTAATCAACACAGCAAATATAAGGATTTCATTCACTTTGATCATGTAGCAAACTTACTTTCAAGCCAACATGATTTAATGATGTGTGCAAATCCTATTTTTTACATTTTATTTTCAGTTACTTTTATACTAATAAATAAAGAATACACATGAGAAATTAGGTACTTACCTGTTGTTTTTTTGCTGTCAATGACACTTGACCCAATTTATTTTTTTTTATACTAATGGTAGTACTACACTAAATAATTTTTTATTTGATTAAATAATGCACTAGAGAACACAGAATAACAGCATGCAAGAAGCAGACAATGTTCCATAACTATCACAGTGTTTCTGGCTTTCAAACTTAGTGACAAGAGCTGTTCATCTAAGAAAGTCGGCGTATTTGCCAAGGGAATCAAGCTTGTACTGAAAACAGTGTAATGTAATATGTTGTTTGATAGATGAAAACTTTGGCTTTCTATTGGTTGTAGATAATATAGTATTGAACATCAGAGAGAACTATTGGCAATTTTGGAAAGACTGGATGTGGCAAGAGTGGTCTGATTTTCTGCTTTATTGTTCTGTAACCATATAAGATTGAAGGCTATGAAAATTCTGCTTTGCCTAAGTTTATGATGACATTGTAATACTAATTTATGTTAAATTTTGTACTTCTTGGAGGGGTGGTAAATAAATTAGAGAAGAGGGGATGTCTAGAGAGAGAGAAAGTCATAATTTTCACACTAGGAAAAATAAAGGATTTTTTAAAATATTGCCTTATAAAATTAAGAATTGAAAACGTATATATCATTAAAATATGGACTAATAGCTACATTTTTTAAGCTTTTATCATGAGTACAGTCAAAGCCTGAGAGCTTATGGGAGAATGGTGTGGTATTTTGGTAGTCAGCTGCAAAATCACAACAAATTCAACTTAAGGTTTATGTATGCATATCATTATGACAAAATGACTCCAAATCTGTTAAAGGTCTTACAAATGCTTTTGTAACTTAGACTTGCAACACAAAATAAACAGTCACAATATAAACTTGTGTTAGAATTTTTGTTTTGTTACTCCTTGTGTTTTTTGTTCTGAGGAGAGCAATTTATAGCTCTTCCTGTATTTATTAAAATGAACGACTGGTAACCTTTAATGTGCAACAGTAACACAAGACCTGGAACTTTCAGCAAGATTGACTAATTTTCTTCAGGAAGGCCACAAAACCTGTAGGTCTTTGGCATGTGACATTTTCCTGGGGGTAGGAAAGTGGGTTAAGATTGGTGGGGAAATATCAACTTTTGCCACACGACATACTTCTGGGTGGAGAATACTACAAAATCTATGGTCTTCTTGGCATGTGACATTTTTCCTGGGGGTAGGAAAGTGGGTTAAGACACGCGACATACTTCTGGGTGGAGAATACTACAAAATCTGTGGTCTTCTTGGTATGTTACATTTTCCTGCGTATGGCATGTGACATTTTCCTGGGGGTAGGAAAGTGGGTTAAGACACGCGACATACTTCTAGGTAGAGAATACTACAAAATCTATGGTCTTCTTGGTATGTTACATTTTCCTGCGTATGGCATGTGACACAATTTTTTAATATTCACATAATGAAAAGTACTGTACTTAATGAAGTTGGAGTAAAATCGTTTTTTTCCTGTAAAAAAAGAAAAGAAAAACAACCACAGATAAAAATGAGAACAAATTTTAACAAGAGGGTCTTATAACATTTTAGTAACAGCAACTAACAGAAAGGATGTTATAAACACACAAAGGAAACACTAGTTCATATATTTATTTTTGATTTTATTTTATATATATTTGAACCCATTTTCACACGTCCAGGATGTCTCAATCAAACTAATTAATCTGTACTTGCTGTAGGTAGACACAGTTTCATTACCAAGAACTTCAATAAACTTCCGTTTATATTTCCAGTAATATTTATAAACATGTATACACATTAAAATTACTCAGTTTGTAATTTCTAAATATATATATATTTATATAACAATTGGATCAGATCTGTATGTGATTGCACATAAATATGAGTTATTTTGACACTGTTGAACAATAAATCATATACAAAAGGAGACAATTTCAACTTACTCACAAGTTTAAAGAACCATCTTCATATAAAGACCACAAGACTCAAAAAATACAAATTACATATTTAGCATTAAATTGGAATATTGCAGAAACTGTAACCTTGGTAGTTGTGTAACAGGATA